AAGAGCCAGTGAATGTTTAACTATCAACTCACGAAAGGATCAGGAAACTGCAAGCTGGAGAACCTTTGTCCACAAGGGAAAAAAAAGTGTTTCCTTGCATTCCTCACTTTTTGTTTTGTTTTGTTTTGGCAATGGGGCTAAGTGACTTGCCCAGGGTCACACAGCTAGTAAGTGTTATGTGTCTGAGGCTGGATTTGAACTCAGGTCCTTCTGAATTCAGGGCTGGTGCTCTATCCAGTGCACCACCTAGCTGCCCCCCATTCCTCACTTTTAATGAAGGCATTTAGTTTAATATAATGGCGTGTTTGCATGAGCTACAAGTCACCACCAAAAGCCACTCACAGAGAGAAACTCTCCAGAGCATTTACAGTATCTGTCCCAGATCACTGAAAAAATAAAGTGAGAAATGAAAAGCAGAACTTGACCTAACCTTAAAAGTCACCTTCACAAATGTTGTGACTTCAACTTTTACGCTACTCCCAAAGAAGAGTTTCCTGACAGTTTGTAAACTGCAGTAATTTGTTTGCAGCTGAGAATTTGTAAGACTTGGCCTTTTTCTGGGTGGGTGTGGCCACGAAACAAAGACATCTTTGTAGGCAAAATGCAGAACTCAACGCAAGCTGTCCAGCATTGAGCCAAGGTGGGAATCATCTAAGGAGAATAGGCAGTTGTGTTCTTGTCAGTTCAATAAGTTGTGTGTAAGGTAATATGGTTAGATCTGTAATAAAGTTGATCTAAAAAGATCTGATTTTACAAAAAACAGCCTTGTCTAATTAGACAGCATTAGTACAATACTTTTTTTTAAAAAAACACTGTTTTAAAAGTTTTACTGCCAATATTCCGCCGTAGTTTCATTTAAAGTACATTTTCCTCTAATTCAAGAAGCTTGATGTCTAATGACCTAGCAACCAGCAGTAGCATCTCCAGTAATAAGGAGCTGATCATCACACTGTACTTTGCCCTGTTCTGACAACATCTAGAATATTGTATTCAGTTCTGGTTGCCACATTTTAAGGAAGGGATCGATAAATTGGAGAGTACCCGGAGGAGGACAAGTAGGGCAGTGAAGGGCTTCAATTTCTTGAATACGAGAAGCAGTAGAAAGGAATTGGAATGCTGAGCCTGGAGAAGAGAAGGTCTCTAGGGACACTGCAGCCATCTTCAAATATTTGAAGGAAGGTTTAGACAAGTCCTGCTTAGCCTGAGAAAACAGAGCTAGAAACAATGGGGAGAAATGGCAAAGATGCAAATTTGGACTTGATGTCAAACAAAAATCTTCCTAAAAATGAGGACAATTCAAAAGTAGAAAGAACTGTCTTGGGAATTAATGAGTTCTCTTATTGGAGGTCTCATAGCAGAGTCTAGATGACAACTTGTAGTTATTTTGTTTCAGGTAATGTTTGTGCTAAATGACTCCTGAGGTAACTGCCAACTCTGAAATTCAGTTGTTTCAACAGTAATTTGGATTACCATTAAGGTCAAGAGACACCTGAGTTTGAATTCCTGCCAAGATTTATTAGCTAGGTGCCATTCATTAAATTGTAAAATTCTCCATTAGGTTGTAAGCTCCTTGAGGGCATGGACTGTCTTTTGCCTCTTTTTGTATCCTCAGTGCTTAGCACAGTGCCTGGCATATAGTAGATGATTAATAAATGTTTATTGATTGATTGCTTTACAGTTTACAAACACCTTCCTCACAGCAGCCCTATAAGTTAGAAGTACAAGTATTGACATCCCCATTATTCAGCTCAGAACACTGAGACACAGTTGCCTAGGGTTAGCCATCTAGTGAGCTCTAAAGCAAGGATTTTGACCCAGATTTCTCCCAGAAATGCTTTGCCCAGGAATGCTCTTTTTGTTGTCTCCATAGGCTCTTACAAAAAAAAAAAGCATTTATTCCTTCAGTATTTATAAAATGTAAGCGCTCATAACTACTGAGCACTACAACACACACACACACACACACACACACACACACACACACACACAGAGTCACTCACTCACTCACGCACTCACACAGAAGACACATAGTCCCTGCCATTATGGAGTTATACAATCTGCTGAGGGAGGATGAGATACATAAACCTAGCAGGTAGAGTTGAAGAAGACCTTTAATTCTTTTTAAAAATCTATTTGTGTTGATTCTTTTTGCTGTGATGTCACATTCATTTCCAAATCTTTTCCTTTCCCTCATCCTTTAACCAGTAAGCATTCCCTTGTAGTTTAGATTTATGAAGAGGTATGTTAGAAATAACTGTAGTATAAGCGGCATAATTAAAAGAGCAAAAGAGAAGGTAAATTCAGTGATCTTTTGTATTTTGGTAGCTTTATACTTGACATTAAATTAATTAATTGAAATTTGATTGCTAGGATAAGGGAGGGTAGAGGAAAGTACCATTGGTAATGACTTTATGTGAGTCTGTTCCAGAAGACATCATGTAAGCTACCTCAGTGCATGGGTTATTGTGGTGTATCTTTTCACTTGGTAAATATTAAAATAACGGTGCCAGTTTTTGAGATGAGCTTGGAACCAGGCTTCCAGACCACTCCCAGCCATCCTTGTACCATCCTGTGGCACTTGGATTCTCCCCATCCACTTTTCAGCGCTCTTCATGTGTTGCCATACCCAGTTAAGATGTAATGCCCTACTTCAGGCAGGGACCGTCTTGCTGGCTCATTTCATATTCCTAGCACTTAATACAGTGAGTGCCCGGCACATAGTAAGCCAAGCAATTCTAATTGTTTATTTGTTGGTGCACATCACTGTAATGTACATACGTAGATAAATACTCTGTTTCTCTGTGATACAAAGTAAAATACAAAAGAGTATTAATGGAAGTACAGTGTGAGAGGCAGCAGAATAGAGTGAAAGCATGGGAGTTAGGGTCAGGAGACACCTCATTTTGAATCCCTGCCAAGATTTATTAGAGAGTTGACCCAGGGCGAGTCACTTGCCCTCTCTCATCTGTACAATGAAGTTGATATGAATTGTATTACCTGTCTCACAGAGCTGTGAGGAAAGCCCTGCATGAACTCTGAGATGCTAAATAACTCTGAATTATTGCTATCATTGATCAGAGGAAGGAGAGGAAATCCATAGTTGAAATTTCAGCTTCATTGAAGAGGTAGTATTTTAGCGGGGCCTTAAAAAATGGGTATGAATTGGACAGGCAGAGGAAGGAGTGGACACAGAAGTAAATGAATACCAGGAGAGGAGTTAGCATAAGGGAGCCATTGGCTTGGGAAAGCATGGGAAGTGCTCTGGAGAAGAGTAGGGATTCATTCTGGGAAAACAAGTACCAGTTATCCACTTTTGGCCCAACACAGGTATGTTTCCTCCAAGAGAACAGGGAAAGATAAAGCTATAAGAAGGTGTCAGGGTCAAATTGTGGATCAATCAAGTTGGTCAGTTAATTGATTGACTTTTGTCCATATGTGAAAAATATTCCTTAAAAAAGAAATAAGAACCATTGAAAAAAAGTAGAACATCAGTTGTCTTTAGCAATTCCCCATTAGTTTTAGGATAAAAGACAAACACCTCTATCTAGCATTTTTTTAAAAAGGTTTTTATTGATTACATTTATACATTACATTTACAGATTACTCCTGCTTTGTGAAAGGTCCCTTGTAATAAAGTAAAACTATTAAGTAAAACTAATAATACTGGGATCCCATCTGAAATCTCTAGTACCCCCTCACCTATTTTTTAAAGTAACAGAAATTTATTTTCTTTCCCTCCCATTCCCACCCCATTTAAAAAAAAAAAAGAAAAGGAAAACAATTTCTTGTAATAAATATGCATAGTCAAGCAAAACAAATTCCCTCATTGGTTCAACTCTCTTCTCTCTCTCTCTCTCTCTCTCTCTCTCTCTCTCTCTCTCTCTCTCTATATATATATATAACATATATATATACACACACACATAGATATAATATGTGTATATATATAATATGTATATATATATATGTGTGTGTATATATATGTATATATATACACACACACACATATACACACACATATGTATATATGTATGTATGTCTCATTCTGGACCCTAAATGCAGAATGAGGCATATCATCCATCACTTCTTTGTCATGGATAGCATGTTTAATCATTGGTCTTCTGGAATCATGAATGGTCATTGTACAGATCATACTTCTTACAGCTTTCAAAGTTATTTGTTTTTACAATGCTTTTGTTATTACGTAAATTATTCTCCTGGATCTGCTTATTTCATTCTTCTTCAGTGTATAAAAAATCTTCCAAATTGTGTATGTTTACAATATTGATGTTATATCATTATATGCATTGTACTGGTTCTACGTATTTCCTTCTTCATTTGTCCATATAAATCTTTCCAAAACTTCCTGAAATCATCTATTTCCTGATTTCTTGCAGCATAATAGTAATTCCATCACATTCAAGCTCTCTCTAATGTTTTCCAGCCTGCTCTTCTCCCTTTATTTTATATTACTGTCTTTCACGTATGCTAGGTTTTCCCCAAACTGGCTGATTACCCATCCCTGAATTCAGTGTTCCTTTTCCCATCTCCATACCTTTGTTCAAGTCGCTCCCAGTCATTGGAAAGCATTGTCTCCTTGCCTCTATGTCTTTTAATCCCTACGTTCTTTCAAGGCTCTGCTCAGTTGTAAAGCCTTTCCTGATTGCTCTGCTGTTAGTGATCTCTTCGACCACCAACCATTATGCAATATTTACTTTTGTGTATGTTGCGTTCTCTACTAGAACGTAAGCTCCTCGAGATTGAGGACTGTTTTGTTTTGTCCTTTATTCTCCGGTATCCTGCATGTTATTTTGTGCATAGTTTGTGCTTAGTAAATGTTTGTCTAATTTAACTGGGACCTTTGCAACTCTGCTGCAAACTTTAGTCAGGTGTCAGCCTCTGTGGAGTGAGATCAGTGACTTATAACACATTACATTATTTACCTATGTCCCTTTTCTCCTCCACAGTGTCTAATAAGCATGCTTTTGTGGATAGCAACCTTCTCTACCAGTTTAGAATGAATTTTCGTCGGAGAAGAAGGCTAATGGAACTGCTCAATGAACGATCTCCCTCCTCCCAGGAAACCCACGATAGCCCCTTTTGCTTGAGGAAACAGAACAGTGACAACGAAAACCCACCAGTTTTATGTCAGGTAACTTGGTTAAAATGAGTCATGTCATTTATTTGGCTTTGGAAAAAAGAAATATCTGAGAACATCTCGGCTACTGGCACTCAGATCTCCGACAACCTCACCTATCTAGGGTTCACTCAAGAACTAAGAAGCAAGTGAAAAAGCTCCCAGCAGCAGAATAAATGTCATAAAGCTCATGCATTTTCCTTGTGGGAGGGCCTCAAAGGCCTCCCATAGGTCCTATTTGCTTGTGGTTTACACAGTTTGACTAATAAGTTTGGCCATCTAGTTTCTAAACTATAGCAAATTAAAGGCCAGAAGAGCAGCTACTCTGTCCAGGTACCAGGACAATGATGAGGTGTGATAGCTGAATATAAGAGAGTAGGCTGAGAATCCTGATGCTTTTCTATAAAGCAGCAGAGCTCTCTGGGGCCTTTTAGTATATGAGCCAACATCCTTAACACACCAGTGTAGTCCCTGAGGGCATTGTTGTTTTCATCTATTGGTCCAATCCTGTTATTTCATTGGGCTCCCAGGGTGGAATCTCCCTCCACTGATGCATGTACAGGTATTTATATAACTGTTATGTGCAGACATAGAAAGTTTTCCTGGGCCCTGAGTATGGTTTGCCCATGGGCGTATGGAAAGTGTATATTGGATATAGACTTGAACCCAGTTCTTTCCAACTACAAGCCAACCATTTATCTACTAGGCCATACTGCAGTTTTATGATGTTATATAATTATTGATGTTCACAGTGTCAATTACTCTTCCCCTGAGATCAATGATGACAAGTTCACACAACTCATTTTCCCCCATAAGATTGCATTTTGATCCAATTATGAAATATTATCTTCTTAATTGACATAGACTTCATTTTAGTGCAATGGGAAACTGATTTCCTAAGTGGCTTCAAATAGCTGATTGTCTTCTCATGACTGAGAATCTCATTCCATGGTGGAGATCAAAAACAGGAATGGAAAACTAGTGAAGTCATCAAAGATTTAATTTCAAAAGCTTTGTCATGTTTTGCATGGCAAGCTTCTTCTCTGTGGAAGTGGGTGGCTAATCATTGAATCTTCAGTGAGCTGGCATTGCAGCTGTGCATTCGTTATCATTATTAGCTCATTAATATTGTAGCCAGCACAGTGACCACCACACTGTTACTGCATCTATAGCTTATTTTCATCTTTTAGGGAGCCTCACTGCTCATTCTTACTAGAGCTTGTGGCCTGCAACATGGAAGCAAATGTCTGTTGACTCCCAGCTTTCCTGACTAGCATGCTCCAGGTAGCGGGGGACTGACCGCAGCGGCTCTGTTTGTTTTCTGGTTTTTCACAGTGAGCCCAAGCAAGGAGATCAAGATCGTGTCTGCAGTGAGAAGGAGCAGCATGAGCAGCTGTGGCAGCAGCGGTTACTTCAGCAGCAGCCCAACCCTCAGCAGCAGCCCCCCAGTGCTCTGCAACCCCAAGTCAGGTAAATGTCCCACCTCCTTTTGCAGCCCTCTCTGTAAACCCCGCCTCCATTTTGAATGTGTAGGAGTGCCCTGGAGTTTGACTTTTCCTGACTGTGAACAAATGAGGAGGTCCTTGCTGGTCCTCAGGATAGATCATAAGCTCCTTGAGGGCAGGGACTTTCTTTTGCCTCTTTTTGTATCCCCAGCAGTTAGCACGGTGCCTGGCACATAGTAGGTGCTTAGTAAATGTTTATTAAATGATTACAGTAAAGTAGAGATGGGATTCCATGCAGCCTAGAGTGAATTGGCCCTGGAGTTAGTTCCTATGAGGACCCTGGGTGGGTCCTTCCTGATTGTAGCCTTTGAGAAACTGATTAAACAGATAATGGAGAAACAGAGAAGAGTAGAGAAATAGAGTGGTATAATGGAAAATGCATTAGGTTTGGAGTCAAAGGACTTGGGTTCAAATCCCATTTCTGCTCTGTGTGACCTTGAGCAAGTCATTCAGTTTTCCGGCCTGAGATCTTCCTCTGTAAAATGAGGGAGTTGGATTACATTGTCTATTGAATCCCTTCTGGTTCTAAATCTATGATACTATTACTATGAATGAGCTTTTATAATTTTTTCAAAAATAGATTTTATTATTTATATGAAATTGTTCAGAAGTTGCTTCAGGATTATATTGTTGATTATACACACATATGGACAGGTGCAGTGGATAGAATGCTATTTTTACTTAAGGCCTTCTGTGTGTACAAAGTAAAAATCTGGTCTCAGACACTTACCAGCCGTGTGACCTTGAGCAAGTCACTTAACCCTGCTTGCCTTAGTTTCCTCATCTCTGAAAATGAGCTGAAGAAGTAAATGGCAAACCACTCTAGTATCTCTGCCAAATAAACCCTAAAATGGGGTCGTGAAGAGTCAAAGATGACTAAACAAGGCATACTCATAAGAGAGATACATCTGCAAATATCTGGATTTTTTTTAACAATGCAGGATGAACACATGCATTCCTTAATCTGTGATAGCCTGAAGAGCAAAGTCATTAATTGATCAATAGTTATTTATTAAACTTTTTTTATGTTTCTGGCACTGTTCTTGGTGGTCACATGAAGACAAAAGTGAAGCAGGTTCCTGTCCTCAGAGGCTTACATTCTATTGAGGGAAACATGCACAAAATAAACACAAAGTACATTTTGTAGGGCAGGTGGGAGATAAGAAAAGACTTTATGTAGAAGGAGGGAATTGATCAGTTTTGAAAGAAACAAAGGAGACTAATAAGTATATAGGCCTCAGTTATTTCTGCTAGTTCTGTTCAACAGACATTAAATTACGATGGTGTGTAGAACACCGTGCTAGCTGCTTGGGTGGGTGTGGGGTATGACAAGATCCTTGCCCACAAAGCATTTGGGAGCTTGTAATACAATTGAAAGAGATCTGGATTTGGAAGAGCTGGGTTTGAATTCTGCATCTCTTACTGTCTACCTGGATGACCTTGAACAAGTCCCTTAATTTTGTCAGGCCTCAGTTTCTTCACCTGTAAGATGGAGTGGTTGCATTAAATTATCTCTAAAGTCCCATTCAGGTTGAAGGTCCCCTAAAGAGATAATCAGTAGGAATGAAACAAATCTGCCCAGAGTTTTCCTTTCTCTGGGCTGTAGTGGTATCCAAGTCTTATAGAGAAAGAAATTAAAAAAAAAAAAGACAGAAAGTCCAAGTGACCTCCTTCAGCAACTTGGATTTTTGCCTTCACAAAATGTCAGACCCTCTTCAACTCTTAGTGTGGCCTGTGTAGGCAATAATTAAATTTCTAAGAAGAGAAGCATGGTTGCCTTCATGGTGAATAAATGATTTGTTCATAAAATGATAGAGGAAGAAGCCAGCAATTGAATTATTTTAAAGAACATCAGAGAATTTTGAGGAATGCTCTTCATGCCCATAGCTGGCAAACAGCCATATTATTTGGGGCTAAGAGCAGAGCAGAGAAACAAATAAAGAAGGCTTTATTAGGCTACTGAAAGAAATTAAGGAAAGCTGTTGGAAAGTAGAAGAAGCCTGCAGGGGAACACAGTAAAGCCATACAATCCTTGGCAGAATTCTGAAGTCAGCCTCTGTTGCCCTTCAGTCTCTGTTTCTGCATGGCCCCCAACCCACTGCATTTTTGGCATCCTCCCCTTCTTGCTACCCTGAAGAATGCCCAATCCCTTCCAGTAGACCAAAGGTTCTTAACTTGGGGTCCATGAACTTTTTTAAAAAAATAGATATTTTGATAACTGTTCAATAGAATTCCTTTCCTTTGTAATCCTATGTATTTTATTTATATATTTTAAAATGTTTTTCTTAAAAAGAAGTTTGTTGGTTTCACCAGATTGCCAAAGGGGATTCATGACACAAAAGAGGTTAAGAACTCCTGCTCTAGATCTTCTTCTCCCCTAAACCTCAAAAACAAAACTTTGCATACACAGAAGGCCTTCAGTAAGTGTTGGTTAATTGATGAAAGCTTTTGTCCCGCCCCTCAGGGCCCTGACAGGTGATTGGCTGGTTTGATCATCTGATTCCTGTTATAATATTAATGGATGATAGCGACTTAATACCTTATCCTTTCCCTCCCACCCCAAGATAGCTGCTACGTTCAGTTTCTTAGTTGAAAGCAGTGATTGTTTTAGGAATTCTTAAATCACTTATCATAATGGGTCATTGGCAGAATTTGATATGCCAACTCACATTACCTAGGCTCTAATGTATTCTGCCTGTGCATATGGCCAGCCCAAAAGGTAGGGTTATTAACTGACCTTGTTTGGAGGCTGACGTGGACCAAATGTATAGAAAGGAGAATCGTGCTGGAAGTGACACAGTTATGAAGGTGGATCAATATGTAAAATTTCTGAAGAAGAGAAAGACATCACAGGGAGGTGGAAAAAAATCTCAGGCCTTGCTGATGCTAAAAAAGGCAACCAAGAGAACATTGTTAACTATTGGCCTATGTGCCTGTTCTCCGTGCATGTAAAATCTTTATGAAAGTTATCTGTATACAAACTGAGCACATCTTTGATGAGAGTATTAATGAGAAGTATGCAAGCTTTTGCAGGTGATACTCACCGAGAACCACATCTTGACCACTTCACAATTGACTGAATAATATAGGACTATAAGATCTTACTGTGTTTATTATTTGTTGATTATTCTTAAAAAGCATATGATTTGATAGAGCAATATGATATCTTACAGGCTTTTTCAACAAAAGATCTCTTGTATATGCATTAAAAGCGTTCAAGATTTCTTGAATGTTATAACAATATATAACTCTGTTCTGTCACCATCTGATCCTTAGAGATATATATCTAGACAGATATAATAGATAACCCTGTTCAGTGACCTTCGGATCATAACATCTGGTGAGGCATAAACCAGGAAGATGTATGCCAGCCAGAGGTGTTCACCATCATGGATCAGAAAGCTCCAGTGCAGAGTCCAAGTTGAAGAGGGATTCCCTATGGACGGTGAGATCCTCCAGATGTTCCTGATTTTACAAGATATTGTGTTGACTTCATCAAGCCCAGGAACAATGAAGAGCCTCCTGGAAGAGATCTGTCATCACTCAAAAGAGTTTGGCTTGCTTATCCACGTGGAAAAGAAAGATCAAAGGGATAAAGAATGTCTGTTGCCCAGAATACAACCTGCATTTGGATGGACACCCAGTGGACCTTGGCCATCACTATGTATGTCTGGAACAGACAGTACATATGGATGTTGAATTGGCTCCAGAGTTGAAAAGGGGGAGGGGGAGAGTTGTTGTAATTGCCTTTGGGAAATTGCAAGACTCCCTCCCTTAATAACCCCAAGATTTTCATGAACCATAGCAGCAGCTAGGAGGCATAGTGGGTAGAGCCCTGAGCCTGGAGTCAGGAAGACCTGAATTCAAGTTTGGCCTTGGATACTTACTAGCCGTATCCCTCTAGGCAAGTAATTTTACCTGTTTGCTTCAGTTTCCTGGACAAGGGGAGCCGTTAATAGCACCTACCTCCTAGGGTTATTATGAGGATCAAATGAGATAGTAATAGCACAGTGCTTGGTACATCATAGGCACTTAATAAATATTTGTTCCCTTCCCCTGACATCCGCTTAAAAGCAAAGGCCCATTTTAAAAATCTCAGCATTCTGGGGTAGCTAGGTGGCACAGTGGATAGAGCCCCGGCCCTGAAGTCAGGAAGACCTGAGTTGAAATCCGGCCTCAGATCAAACACTTGACACTTACTAGCTGTGTGACCCTGGGCAAGTCACTTAACCCCAATTGCCTTAAAAAAAAAAAACCAACAAAAAAAAAATCTCAGCATTCTGCAGGTGTTGCTATATGGCAGTATAAGAGCTTCAAAGGTTTTAAAATGAATCTCACACAAAGAATAAGCACAGAGTGGGTGGGAACAGACTGCTACATTCAACCAAAGAGGAAGGACAGGCATAGGAAATGTCCTCAAGGAATTGTATGGCAAGAAAAGAAGATGGGCTGGTCAAATGGCAAAGCTGATGGGCTCCATGTGAGCAGCCAGAGCAGTCCATTGTTTTCCTTGGGTTATCGGGAGAGAACAAGGAAAACCATTAGCACGTTGGGTGGATTTCCTGGGACAAATTTATTATTGTTAACAATAGCAATAGCTAACATTTATGTAGCACTTCATCCTTTTTTATCCTTACAACATAAGATCACAATAAGGAATAAGATGTGCTTATTGTGCTGATTTTACAGATGAGAAAACTGAGTCTGGGAGGTTAAGTGATTTGTATAAGATCACAGAGCTAGTAAATGGCTTCCTGATTCCAAACCCAGGGCTCTGTCCATTCATTATGTGGCCTCTTTGCCTCTGGGGGGACATAGACAAGGGCCAGACAGGATAGGCAATTGGACAGGTTGTGATTTGGATCACTGGAGGGACCTCGAGAATCAATGAGACCACAAATTCATTTGAGTATTCTTAGTCACTTGGTAACAGACTCAGTCATTTGTACCAGTTAAACTAGAAATGCTGCCAGTACCCTCTAAATGTCCTTTCTAGGGAAAAAGCAGCCCCTTATCCAAAAGTGATGAGATCACAGATTCATTTGATTATTACCTCTGCCAAGAACTTTAACCTTTAACCTCTTTGGGTTTCAGGTTTATGATCCGTAAAATGAGGGGATCTCTTGTGTCTTTTAAATGTCATGATTCTGTGATGAGCTGGTCAGCAAGGTGGGAAATTCCCCAAAATGTGCATAACCCTCAATACAGATTTCATATACATATATATATATATGCATGTATGTATGTGTATATACATATATATATTATATATATATGTATGCATGTATGTATGTATACATATACACATGTCAACACAGGTAATGCACATAGACTTATCAATCAGTCAATAATGTAGGACTGGGAGGATAGTGTTACCCCTGACTGTAATAGAGAAAGTTAAAGGTGGGGAGAGGTTAGGGGGAAAGATAATGAGTTTAAGATGTCTACTGGACAGTCATTTCAAGATGTTTGAAAGGCATTTGGAGACTCAAGACTGGAAGTCGGTAGAGAGGTTAGGGCAGCATAGGTAGATTTGAGAATCACCAATATAGATGTGGCAATGAAATCCCTGGGAAGTGATGAGATCACCATTTAACTGGACTTTATTATGTCCCCTGGTACATATGGATGGTCCTAAGCAGGTGTAGAATAAGCACCATTATGTATGGTCTATTTTAGTTTTTCAGGGAACCAGGTGTAAAAATTCACTAGATGGGCTTGAAAGTTCAGCTCACCAGCCTTCTGCCTGGCCTTTGGATTTCTGCACCTTTACTTGGGAACAGAACACGCATAGTGTTGTTTGACAGGAAGAAGACAACTTGAGCTGTTGAAAATGGATCCATCAGATCAGAAGCTTAATTCTGTTTTGTAAGCATATTAAAAATTTAATAGCTAACATTTTATAGCACTTTATCTTATTTGATCCTCACAGCAGCCCTGTAAGGTAGTGCTCTTATTAGCCTTCTTTTATAGATTTATGTCTTTTGTGCCTTGAAGAGTAAATAAAAGTAAACTTAATCACCAGATAAAAACCTGGCATTTTACTACCCTGGCCAAACATTTTACTGTTCTGACAGTGGGCTGTAAAATAAGCTTTATTTTCCTAAAGTTTTGAAAATACCAGTAGAGTTACAGGAGAAAATGTGTAGCTAACCAAATTCATCACAGGTTAAACCAACTTAATTCCTTATTTATTGACTGTGATTTGGAAGTAATTCAGATTCTCCAAGAGTCAATAATTTCAGTAATCTAGATTTTTATTTAATTTGTCCTTTCAGATATGCACATTTTATCCAGTAGCACGTGGAGGGGAGGGGCGGGAGTCCAATGGACTTTGATTTTTCTACAGGGGATGTATGGGAGTATCCTTGTTGGTACTTCCTAGTATCAGTAAGTTAAAAAAAAATAGAGTTGAGCTAACAATGAAAAGAGAACCCTATTGCCAATAGGCCGTGACTACAAAAGTCATTGAGAATCCCTCTGCAGTATCTGGTTTCTTAAGAATGCCGCTAATAAGTTAGGAGGAAGGAAGAAGTGGGTGGGATTTGAGGCCCAGATAAAAATGTGCTGAATATTTTACCATTTAAAAGGAAAGGCTTCAAGAAAAATTAGGTGAACTTATTAGCTTGTTTTGAATCTTTCTGGTTGCATTAAGCAAGAGGATGGCTGGGGTATTTTAAAATTATTGTTCATGTTGCAAGTTTTTTATGAATGAACATGGTCTGTCAATGTTCCTCTGAGTTAAGCTAATTCAATTTAATTCCACAAAAAATTATTAAATGTTATGTTCCAAGCATAGCACTTAGCACAATGCCTAGTACATAGTAGGTATTAAATGCATATCGACTCGACAAGGTAAAGGGATACAAAGACAAAAAAATACAAAATACATAAACGATGAATATATAAATATTTAAAAGTCTCTGCCCTCCAGAAGCTTACATTCTACTGAGAAAAGGAAATATAGTATGTTCTATCAAATTGATAATAAATTTTAGTAAAATTAGAGTAAAATAAATACCAAGTAACCTTAACAGAGAGGGTATGCCAAAAACTGGACATTTGGAAAGGCCTCACATGGGAGGTGGCAACTGAGCTGAGCTTTATAAGGAAGCCAGAATTTCTAGGAGAAGGAATTGGGAAGGGAATGCATCTCAGATATGGGGTACAGTTAAGTGGGAGATGGAAGGCTATATATTGAAACCAGTTAACTGGTCGGTTTGGTTAGAATGGGGAATACTGGAAAGGAGGTAACATATAATAATACCAAAAAGTTAGATGGGAGCCAAATTGTGAAGTTTTAAATGTGAGATTAATGATTTTGTGTGATGATTTTGATCCTAGAGGAAATAAGGAACCACTAAAATTTTGAGAAGGAAAGTAACATGATTAGATCTGTGTATTGGAAAAGGAAGAGATTAGAAGCAGAGAGACCAGTTAAGAGACTTGAAAAAATTCAAGCCAGGGGTGATGAGAGCCTGAGCTAAGGTAGAGGGGTGTTTTTACTTTTTACTTCTCTCTGTCCTCATTCAAGAAAGATACCCAAACTAGAAGCAACAAGGCTGTTTTCCTATCTCTCGCTCTCTCAGGAACAAGTTGCCAATGCTGACATGCAGCTCAAAATTCTCAAAGTTTATTCTTGTTCTGAGAAATCCCCAGTTTTATCTCTGTCACTTATGAGCAAGAGAGATAAAATGGAGAATGAGATATTCCCAAATAGTTGAGCATTTGTTTTAGAGCACAAAAATTGAGCCTTGCCATATAGCATTTAGAAATATTTGTGAGTTTAGATAAGTAATTTCATCTCTCTCTGGACTTCATTTTCTTCAACTGTACAGTGAGGAGGACTGGATCATTTCTAGGATGCCTTCCATCTCTTAAAAAAAAGTTCATGATTCTATAATATATGCCATTTTCTTATGATATCATATGGTAAATATCATTAAGGGCTTTTTGGGGTATTCTCAATATTTTCATGGAACTGAAGAAGAAAATGTTGCAATAATTAAAATAATCAAGTCGTGATTGAATGACAGGCCATCCCAGAGTCTATTAAAAGAGGAAACAGTGGGATAAGTAGGTAGTTGGGTGTTATCTGACTTTTTTTAGAGTAGCTGAAATTTTCAATATAATGAGGAAAGGGAGGAAAACCCATTCTTGAGTAATTATTGATCAAGAGTACAGCCACAGTGATACACTGTGTCTTCATCCAGGTACATATAGTAGCTGGATCATTGGCACATCCTTTGAATAAGGAAGGCCTTTATAACTTGGTTCAATATCAAATATTCATGAAATCTCAAATTAAAAAACCGACAAAGCCTGAGATCTGGAAAAAATAACAAAGTACATTTTACATGAGTTTTGTGAAATATTTGCTTCTTTAAGCTTATATTAAATAACCTATGTCTGTTTTCACAGTGTTAAAGAGACCAGTCACTTCTGAAGAACTCCTGACACCTGGGGCGCCATATGCAAGAAAGACTTTCACTGTAGGTACTTTAGTTATTTTCCTGTGCCATTTGGTGTATGGATTGTAAACTGCTGTGAAAGTGACTTTCTGATTTTGTTTTGGTATAATGACTACATGTATAAATGAGTTAACATGTAAAGAATTTGGTAAGCCTTAAAGTGCTAGTATTATAATTATTAATATATTATATCATATATAATATATTATATCCATATTTGTAGTAATTATAATTACTAATATATAATTATATATAACCATAATTAGAAATAATTATGTAACAAAATATGTTGATATTTATATATTATTATATTTCATGTAAAATACACGAATAATTATAAAATATAATATATAATTGTGATGGCTAATATATATAAATATTTAAAAAATTCTTGGTCTTTGGGCATTTGCATCACAAATGTGTTCACAGAAAAAGGAACTAAAAATGTTGCAATTATACTGGCATTGTTCCATGTTTCCATGTGTTCTGTTCAATGTGTGCTATTAATCTAAAAAAAAAAAGCACTAGCCAGACATGATTACACTTGAATTACAAATAGTACAATCCTCCTGAACTGAAGTTAAATTCTGAGAAAAATCTAGACGAATTAGAGGGATCAGTATGGGAGATTATCAAGGAAAGAAGAAAGAGCAGAGATAGACTGTACTGTATTTATAAAAACATGGCGCTAGCAAAGCAGAGTTGAATATGGAATTCAGAACACATTAGTTTGAATCTTCCTTCTGCTACTTACTACCCGTGTGACCATAAGTCAATTAATTTTTTTGTCCCTCAGTTTCCTCACCTACAAATGAGGAGGTTTAACTAGATGATCTCTGAGGATCTTTCTCAAGTGATTATATCTTGAGTCTATGAAGGGAAACAGTGCTTTTGATAATGTAGCTTTACCTTAGTTACATTCACCAGACTATCACACTGAACTCAAGCAACCACAGATGTTGGGAAACATTTCCTAACAAATAGAAATATCCTAAAATGGAATGGGCTGCTTTAGGAGGGTAGTAAGTTCCTTCTCGATGAAGGTCTTTAAGGAAAGGCTGGATAACCACCATTTGTTGGGTAGGGCTTACTAGGATTCCTTTTGTTTATAGGTTGGATTAGGTTGCCACTGAGTTCTTTTTCAACTCTGAGATTCTGTGATCCTGTAAGACATTTCTATCACCTCCTACTCTAGCCAGAAGAGAACAAAAACGTCCCAGGTGGATAATGGCTCTTGGTGGTTGGCCTGGTGAATAATAAAATCGGATCCAAAAATCTCTTCCCCCTGCCTCTTTTCTTTTCCCTCAAAAGAACTGCCACACGAAACTTTCTCAGTTTCTTCCAACTTTCCTTCCTTGGAGTGCAATCAATTTCAGCTCACACAATCACTTTTTCCAGGACGCATCTATATCCTCTTTAACTCCCTTCCCCTTTTTTTTTTCTTTTTCTCTTTGAAAATGTCCACAGTGACCTTGAGAAAATCTCTTCATGCCTCTTCTTCCCCACCCCCCCACCTAACACCTTTTTTTCTGTTCAATTTCAGACATGAGAAATAATGGCTAAGTGTGAGGCCCAGGCAGTGATACACCTGTACAAAGTAAAAGCTACGTGTTTTTAAATGGAATTAGATATAATAAAACTTCCCAAACCCTTGAAATTTCTCTTCTAAATCCCCACACTTTTCAATCTACCTTTATATCCTCCATTGTTAAACCTACTTCTTCTCAAGCACCAATGCTCAAAATAATATTAAGTCATTTTATTGGTGTTTCTGTTTTGAGTAAATACTATCATATTTTTGTCCTGTGGTATTATTTTTCATCACAATGTGCACTATTTTAGCTACATTAAATGGGTTAAATGCTTACAGGCTAGCATGGGAACTTAACCATTATAAATAAAACATTATTTCTATGAGGAAATGTGTTTGAAACAGCCAACTTAGAGTCTTTTAGAATATGATCTGCATGCAAGTCAAGTACTTCTCTATATCTCTTTTTAAAATTTATTTTATTCGCTGTATCTTTTTAAGAAAACTATTTTTGTATTACCTTTTTAAAAAATAACTTTCACACCTCGAAATCTACCTTTTTCGCAAATAGAACATTCCCTTGTAACAAAGAAATAGAGTTAAGGAAAACAAACCAGTATAATGGCCATGCTTGATAATGTATGCCTCATTCTGCAACTGTAGTTTACCACTTTTCCCCTAAGAGATAGTGGACATGTTTTATTTCCAGTCCTCTGAAGTGAAGATTGGTCACTGTGTTAATCAGAATTCTAATGTTTTTCAGTGTTGTTTTTCGTTACGTTATTGTGGTCATTCACATGCCTTCTGCACAAAGAAAACTTTGAGGAGAGTCAATTGCAGGGTTCCTCCTTTGTCTAGACTTGTGATTTCATAGGTCTGCATTATTCTGATCCTTCATGTATAACTGAGAGTTTTAGAGAGTTCCCTGGGAGGCACTTAGAGGTCTGGTGGCTTGCACAGGAACACACAGCCAGTACATGTCAGAGCTAGGACTTAAACACCAGCCGTTCATACTGTATAAATATTGGCCAGGTAAGCTAGGTGACACAGTGGATAGAGTGTTGGGCCTGGAGTCAGGAAGACTCACCTTCTTGAGTTCAAAGCTCGACTTAGACTATTAGTTGTGTGATCTTGGACAAATCACTTAACCCTGTTTGACTCAGTTTCCTCATCTGTAAAGTGAACTGGAGAAGGAAATGGCAAACAACTCCAGTATTTTTGCCAAGAAAACCCCCAATGGGGTCACGAAGAGTGGAACTTGACAGAAATGACTGAACAACAACAACAAATACCAGCCATCAGGATGATTATTATTCTGCTAAGTTATCTTGATAATGTGATCAGTTCAGGGTAGGTAAATAGTTAAACCTGAAGCAGAGACAAGCTTTGTCATATCTGGTGCTTGAGAGAGGCAGCTCAGTATAATGGGGAAAATATAAGATCTAGAATCAGGACACATGTGTAAGTCTCATCTTTGATGTTTCATAGAGGTATTATTGTGAGCAAGCCATTTATCTTCTCTGGGCCTTAGTTTTCTGATCTAAAAAATGGAGTTACTATGAAATGTACCAGCCACCTTATAGGACTGTTGTGAGACAACCTAAACTAAATCTGAATGAACAAGAGTAATAATTGTTTATTTTCTCCCCTCCCCCTCCAACCCCAGCACTTAGCACAGTGCCTGGCACATAGAAGCTGCTCAATAGATGTTTATTGATTGATCTGTTGATTTTCCTTCTCCCTTGAAAAGAAAGGTGAATTACAAGGTGTTTTCCAAAGATTCCTAATTGAATTTTTTTCCCTTCTCCTGTGGGTCCTAGATTGTTGGTGATGCAGTGGGATGGAGGGCTTTGTTGTAAGAGGAAGCAAGCCATGTCATATACAGGCTGTGGATCCCAGTGGCCCAGCAGCTGCAGCTGGAATGAAGGTATGTCTATCTTGTCTTTATCCTAATAGTCTTTTGTATCTACCTGTTGTTACAATTTCTATTTTGTATTGCTCTGTTGGGTCTCAAGTCTCTATGGCTTTATCACGTGCCCTAATATAGACATGGCTTTTTGTTCCATCCTGCTGCCCTCCTCAGCCTGCCCTTCACCTCACTCCTACACTCATGCTTCAGCCTCTTTGATGTCTAAGCTTTTCTTTTGGCAGAGCAACCTCTAAATGACTTGCTTTGGATTAGAAGCAGGAGTGGGGAACCTTCAGCCTTGAGGACACATGTGGCCCTCTAGATCCTCAGTTGCAGTTCTGTGAAGTTTGGATTCAGTCAAAGGGCGTAGAGGGTCACGTATGGTCTCGAGGCTGCAGGTTTAAAGGCATACATAAAAAATTTCAAGGGCAACATTATCTATTGCAGGAGTCAAAAAAGGCCCCTTATGGGAGAAAAAAACTGAGCTGAGCTTTGAGGGAAATAGGGTTTCTAAAGAGCAGAGGCAAGGAGATAGAATATTTCAGGCAGTGGGGTTACAGCTTGTGCAAAGAAATGGAGAGAAGAAATTTAATGTCCACCCTACCGTTTCCACACTGTGCTGCCTGCGCTCTGGCTGTTATCTTCATCTCACACTGCCCTCCACCCTCCCAGCCCCCCGACCATGCCCCAGACTTTGGATTTGGCTCCAGAACTAGACCTTCACCCGAACTCCAACTCCAGGCCCAGCTCTCTATCCACTGTGTCACCTAGCTATGAGAGGTAGAGAGGGATTGATAACCTGGATAAGGGTGGTTTTAGTCCAAGAAGAGAGAAGGGGATGAATGGAAAGCATGTTACAGAAGAAAAATCAACAAGTGTTAGCAACTGATTGTATTTGGGAAGTGAGAGAGAATGATAGTTAAAGATAACTCCAAGATTGTGATGCAGATCTGAGTGACTGGAAGAATGGCCGTGCCTTCCAAAGAAATAGGGAAGTTAAGAAAAGGAGTGACAAGGCTAATGAAGTTCTAGACATGGAGTTATCCAAATGGAAATGACCAGCAAGAAGTTGGAGATATAAGATTGAAATAAGAGGGAGAGACAGAAACAGAGATAGAGACACAGAGAGACAGGGACAGAAAGAGAGAGTAGTCAATCAGTAAACATTTATTAAGTACCTACCATGTGCCAGACATTGTGCTAAGTGCTGTTCAGATCTGGCCTCAGATACTTATTAGTTGTATAATTCTGGGCAAATCACCTGCCTCAATCTCCTCATCTGTTAAATGGGGACAATAATAGCAGCTACCTCCCAGGGTTATTGTGAGGACCAAATGAGATAGTAATTGTAAAACACTTAGCAGATATCTGGCACATAGGAAATGCTATATAAATGTTAGTTATGATTAGCTATTGCTTATGTAGATTTGGGAGTCTTCTGCATAGTGATGACACTGAATCTATGAGCACTTATGAGGTCACCAAGAAGAAAGAATATATATAGAAAAGTAAAGGACTGATGACCAAGCCTTGGGGTACACCCATCCATATGGAAATGAATGATGGCCCTAGTCAGGACAGAGGGGTGTCACCAAATCCCAGCGAGACAGTATGCAGAAGGAAGATTTTTTTCAACTATGTCACGTGCTACAGAGAGGTCAAGAAAGAGAAGCACTTATCATTCCCCCTGCTCATCCTCCTGTGTGTATGCTAACACTCCAGGAATTGAAAGGACAGCAGCAGGTAAGAATTAAAAAGCAGCAGAGAGCGTGGTTGACGTCCCAGACCCAGAAGAGCGGGCCAGTCTTTTCCAGAAGCTTAATCTTACTCATTCTCTTGAAGGGCTGTGGAGTCCCCTGGGGAATACAACTCACTGGATGGTGGGGAGCCCTGCTGTGGGGGTGGGGAGAGCTGTGCAGAAGGATTATTGGCAGTGCGGGCTTGTCTTACAGTTCAGTGCCATCCCTGCGGCATGTGGTGGTGGGCACAACACCAAAGAGACTTGAAGAAAGAAAATTGGCAGGAATTAAAAAAGGGTGAGAATTTGTCTGTGTGCCAGGACTGAACATTTCAATTTGTAATGGAACTCTTGGGCACAGGAAGGATTTTCTATTTTATTTCCACAGAGATGTACCTAGCAGAGTTTATTTTTGGAAGATTGCCGTGGTTTGTACTGTGCAGGTTCTTTGTTTATGAAACGTATGGTTGCTCATTTCTTTCACTTTAAGAGTATTTCCTTTCCTTTCCTTTCCACTGAGCTGGGTACTTATGGAAAGGCAAGGACTTATCCCTCAGTTAAATGTGTCTTTTCACTTAATTAAATTCACTTTGAGTAATATTTGTTGAGTGGCTGATGTAGTGGTGGTAAGCATTATCAATTGAATAATTACGAATTTTAACCCTCAAATAGGACATGTAGTGTTGAGGAACTGAAGTAGAATGCTTTGAAAAGGGGCCCAATTCACCATACACTCCAAAGTCTAGTATGTGTCCTGCCTCAGACATTTACTGGCTATTTGACTTTGGGCTAGTCCCTTGACTACTGTGTCTCGGTTTTCTTCATTTGTAAAATGGGGATAATAATATCATCTACCTCACAGGGTTGTTATGAGGATCAAATGAGATAATATATATAAAGTGCTTTCCATCCTTAAAGTGCTATGTAAGTGCTAGCTATTATTATTATTATAGATAGTTTTCTACACTATGGAGTTAGGCTAAATTTAGGTGCTTTTTTCTGAAATTATTGGATTTTTATTTTAATTTTTTGCCAAACATTCATTACTGGTATAAGGGTAGGGGTCAATTAAGTCAATCAGTCAAGTTAACTCATCCCACTTAAAGTAAGTGTCAAATGCTAGACCCATTACTCAGAAAGTTTGGTTCAGATTGGTCAGAAAATGTCCTTTGGGTCATCTGTACAATATTGAAGCCACTTCAGAACCAAAAGATTCAGCATTTGGAGTCTTCTGTTGAAAGCCTCCCTTGGGGGGAGGAGAAGAGTTCCAGCCTCAGGTCTTGGCCTCCACGTAAATCCCCACCCCGTTTGACCAGAAGAAGACCTTGTGAATTTAAGTGTCCTGGTCGTATCCCTAGAATAGTGACTTCTAGTGTCAGTGCCTGAATCAAGGAGCTGAGGATGGACTGGATACTGAGAGGAAAGGCACATTCAAGAATCTACAAGAAGCCCTATAGAAAAGCTGTATCTTCCCTGAGGGAAATATCTTGAGAACTTCATCAAAAAGACTTCCTGGAGCTGTGAATTACCCCCATGCTGTATTGAACTCTCTAAGCTCGAGCCCCAATTTCCTCTGGACTTCTTAGTGTGTACTTATGGAGAATGAATCACAGACATGGAGTTTTGTACAAATTGCTTTTACTGTGGCCACCTTAGTAAATACCTTTGAGACTAAAAGCTAATTAACTTACCAAGCAATTGATATCAACTGATAAGCATTGGGAGGGAACACACCAGTGGGGCCTCATAAACTATGTTGTTATTGTTGTTCAGTTGTATCTGTCTCTTTGTAACCCCATTGGGGGTTTTCTTGGCAGAGATAGTGAAGTGATTTGCCATTTCCTTCTCCACCTCATTTTACAGATGAGGAAACTGAGACAAACAGGGTTAAGTGACGTGCCTGGGGTCACACTCCTAATAAGTGTCTAAGGCCAGATTTGAATTCAGGAAGAGGAGTCTTCCTGACTCTAGGCCTGGCACTATGTCCACTGCACCACCTTGCTGTGGTATAGTTTTAGAACGACATTCCTCTCATCCTCCTAGACTCTAAAGGAACAAGTAGCTAATCTGTGGGACCCAGCCTGCCGGGGTAAATGGGGGGTGTGAGAACAGCTTCAGAATCTGTGTTACAGTAAAATTTGGTTCAAATTTATGGAATTTAGCAACTCGATAAGAAGGAAGAAAGGAAGGAACGGAGGGAGGAAGGGAGCAAAAAAAGAGGGAGAGGGAAGAAGGAAAGAAAAGAGAAAGGAAGGAAGAAAAGAAGGAAAAGAGAGGAAGGAAGGAAAAAAAGAAAAAATCTAATTAACTTGAATTTTATTTACCATTCATAATTTCTTCCAGTTTTTCTAATATACTTGCAGTTATTCTGACATTATTATCATCATTCATGAGCACATGGACAGCTAGGTTGCTCAGTGGCTATTACACTAGATTTGAAGTTGGGAAAATCTGAGTTTGAACCTGGCCTTACCATCTGTGTGACCTTGGGCAAGTCACTTAATGTCTCTCAGCCTCAGGTTCCTCACCTGTAAAATAGAGATGATAATAGTACCTAACTCATAGGGAGGTTGTGAGCATCCAAAAGAGATAACATATGTAAATGTTTTGTAAACCATAAAGCACTACATAAATGCTAGTTATTATTATTTTGCCGTGTTTTTTTCATTTGGCATTATTTTATATAAGGGATTTTGTTTTTCAATCGTGTCTGACTCTTTGTGACCGCATTTGGTGTTTTCTTGGCAAAGATACTGGAGTGGTTTGCCATTTTTCTCTCCAGCTCATTTGACAGATGACAAAGCTAAGGCAAACAGGGTTAAATGACTTGCTCAGCATCACAGAGCCAATAAGTGTCGGAGGTCAAATTTGAACTCAGATCCTCCTGATTCCAGGGCCCATGCCCTGGAATCCATTGTGCCACCTAGCTGCCCCTTTGTTCATTCTGAAGGATAAAAGTTTGATAACTTCAAAAAGCTTAAAGACTCCAGCCTCAAAGCAGTTTCTTCTGTGATCCTATAGTCAGTCAATACTGCATTGCAATGAGTAACTATAACAGTGGGAACATTATGTCTGATTACAGGTATAGCCTGTGCAGAGTAGCCAGAGATTTGAACTTGGAATTGGCTATTTCCTAGCCTGCCAGGTTGTGTGCCTGTTGCTCCCAATTCTTTAATATTTAACAAATCCTTATAGTTAAATGTTGGTGGCTTAAGATGAGGTAGAAGTGTGATCAAGTTGTCTAAATAGCAGTAAACTGTGAGAGAAGATTGATGGGAAC